AACAGGTCCCTTGGACTGGAGTTGCAGGCAGTTGTGAGCTGCTCCATGTGGGTGCTAGGAACTAAATCCAAGTCCTCTGCCAGAGTAACAAGTGCCCTTAACCACTGAGCTGTCTCTCCAGCCTCTTCGCCACAAAACTTCCCTTAATGACTTTTTCGTTTTCATTCTGTAACCTCTGAGCAAGTTTCTTGAAGAGATACTTTAATGTTTTTGAAGTGTGTTAGGAAATAAAGCAACGAAAGCGATGGAAAATTGTACAGCAGGCCAAGTGTTAACCTGGAAAGGCTCAGCCTCTGTTGATTTGCACCGTCTGGATACACTGGCAAAGGTAAGAAATGAAGGGTTGAGCCTGGGTCCTCCAGACTTGGGCTGGCAGGAAGATATCCACAGCTCATCTGATGCCACAACTCAGATGAGCACAGACTCCTATGGTGTTGGCTGTGGATTGCATTATGGTGAGCAAGCATGTGGTGGAGAAAAGGGTAAAAAGCAGAAGCAGAAAGGTCCATGTGCTGTGGAGAGAGGCAGAACGGAAGCAGTGAAGGTGGTGAGGAGTAGGCTGGGGTGGGAGGCCTGCAGACCATCGGCCCAGGCTGCTACCAAAGGCTAGTCTGTAGTCCTACCACAGCCAGGGTCTGTGTGGCCTTCCATGGCCCATGTTGTCACCAAAGGTCACTAGCATGTCCAAAGTCTGGGGCTGCCACCAGTGACCATGTAGGTGTCCAAGAGCCATGTTGCCGCTGGAGCCATGCTGATCTTGGTTTCCTATACTGCGACCTGAGTCCATGCTGTTGTCCAGGCCTGAGCTGCTGCTAAGGGGCATGTCTGGGTCTGTGGCCCTACAGCAGCCAGGGTCTGAGTCAACATCTGTGACTCCTGTTGCAACTGAGGGCTGTGTGGTTGCCCAGGGTCTGATTGGCCACCTGGGACCGTGTTGTTGCTGGGGGCCATGCTGCATCTGGAGTCATAAAGATCTAAGTGGCAGATACTGCTATTGCATGCCATGGTGACATCTGGGCCAGGGCTGCAACTGGGGCTCATATCTGGGTTCATGACCCTACTGCTGCCAGGGGCTGCATTGATGTTCGTGGTTCTTGTTGTCACAGTACCATGTGGATTTTTAGGGTCTGGGCTACCACTTGGGGCCATGATGGCGTGTGATGGCCACACTACCACTGGGGCCATGCCAATCTGGGTGACCTGCGGTGCCACCTGGGGCCATAGTGACATCCAGACCTGGACTACTGCCAAGGACTATGCCTGGGTCTGTGGTCCTACCTCAACCAGGATCTGTGTTGAAGTCTGTGACTCATGTGGCCGCCAAAGGCCACTTGGAGGCTTGGGCCTGGGCTGCAACTTGTGGCCTTGTTGGAGTTTGGGGGCCATACAGATCTGAGGCCTGTGCTACTCCCAGGGGCCACGGTGTTGTCTGGGCCCTGGGCTGCTGAGAACCACGTCTGAGATCATGGTTCTACTGCAGTCAGGCTCTGCGTTGAATTCAGTGACCCACGTTGCCACCGAGGGCCCTGTGGATGCCCAGGGTCAGGTCAGCTATATGGGTCCATTTTGGTGGTTGAAGGCCACGCAGATCTGTGTGCTCTGTGCTGCTACCATGGTGTTGTCCGGGTCAGAGCAGCAACTCAAGGCCATGCCTGGTTCTGTGGCCAGGGTCTCTGTTGACGTTTGAGGTTCCTGTTAGTGACCCCAAGGGTCATGCTGCCTCTGGGGCTGTGCCAATCTGAGTGGCCGACACTGCCACCTGGGGCAATAGTGACATCTAGGCCCTGCTGCTGCAAGGAGCATGTCTGGGTTCATGTCCCACCACAGCCAGAGACTGTGTTGCCACCAAAGGTTGCACGGAAGCTTGGGGTCAGGGCTAGAACCTTGGACGTTGTTGGTGTGCAGGGGCCATGCTGTCTCCAGAGCCATCCTGATCTGAGTTGCCTGTGCATCCAACCAGAACCAGGATATTGTCCAGGTCCATGCTGCTTCTGAGGGCCATGTCTGGGCTCATGGTCCTGCTGCAGATGGGATCTGTATTGATGACTGTGGCCCATGTCTCCTCAGGTAGCCGTTGGAACCATGTATGGTGGAATTAGAGGGCCATGCTGAGTCAGTCCTTCCCTTCACTTGGACTGTCTCTGGCTGCACACTGCAACAAATAAGCTGCCCCTGACACTCAAGGGAGAGTTGCTTCCCCCACACATACTCTGAGAAGATGGCCCAGCCCTCACTGTGAGCATGGGAGAGCTGACTCTAATGGCTTGGGTGTAGGGGAACTAGCTCTGCCTCTTGCCTGAGGGAGGCAGCCATTGTGACTTGAACTGACCAGCTCAACTACCACCCAGGCCCAAAGCCTGGCCTTGGGTTGGCTCACCTTAGCATCTACCTCATCTAGGACCTGCTGGAGCTCCTAAAGGGAGTGGTCCTATGGAAGGATACCAGCAGGATCTCTGTGACTCCCAGGGGAGTTTCAAGCAGGATCCAGGGATGATGATCCAGGAACCAGATGCCTTGAAGCAGACCAATGACTCATTGCCATGAACATTTACTAGTAAAGGAGACTGGGCGAAAGGGTTTACTATGTGGCACACTGCTCCCAGTGCCACCAGGATGAATGAAGAGATGTTGGAGAGGTAGGAAGACACAGTAGAGAAGAGCTTCTTTTGTTGTTGTTTTGCTTTGCTTTTTTATTTTTTTTTGTTTTTCTTTTTTTGTTTGCTTATTTTGTTTTATTTTGGTTTAGTTTGACTCGCTTTGATATTTTCTTTTTAACTTTCATTTGGGGGGCTACTATAGTGGGGAGGGGAGGAAATGGAGAGACTGGGAGATGAGTGAAATTGTGTTGAATGATGTGAAATTCCTCCAATAAAGAAATTATGTTAAATAAGAAGGAAAGAAAGAGAGGGAGAGAGAGAGAGAGAGGGAGGAAGGAAGGAAGGGAAGAAAGAAAGAAAGAAAGAAAGAAAGAAAGAAAGAAAGAAAGAAAGAAAGAAAAGGAAAGGAAAGAAAAAAGAAAAGAAAAAAGAAAAGAAAAGAAAAGAAAAGAAGGGTCAATGTTTATTCACAGTATGAGAGCGCAGTTTCCTTTCCAGGCAAGGAAGTCAAGGTGGCTGCAGCATGAGGAGGCAGCTGATCCCACTGCGAGCAGTTGGGAAGAAGAGAGAGGGAAATGGTCCAGTTCAGCTCACTGTTGTTCAGTGTACGGGAACCCAGGGTATGAACCACTCATTGGTAGTGTACTGTGGGTCCTTCCTCCTCAAAGAGCCTAATAGACAGGCATGTCTCCAAGCTGCTTCCTGGTTTGTGCAAGTTGACAATGACCATTAATCATAACACTTCTCTTACCTGTCTAAAAGGACCCGGTTGTAGTTGGGTGGGAGAGCCCTTGTCCAGCGTTTGTAAGACTTCAGGTCCAGTCTTCAGTTCCATGCACCTGCCTGTTCCAAGGTCTCCCCTTTATTTTAGGAATACAAATTAGGTGGACAAACCCAGTTTTCCTTCAGGAGTTCCTGGGACTTCCTGGCTTCCTGTCTTTCCCCTCTAATTCCCCACTTTCCTGACTCCAGCCCACTACTCTCCTAACCCTCTAAAGAGGCTGCTTTCTTTCCCTGGGTGCTCCCATCGTTCTGCCCCAACTTGCCATCCATCCCACCTGGATATTCTAAAAGAATTTTTAAGGAAAGGTTCATCAGCATTTTCTTCCTTCCTTCCTTCCTTCCTTCCTTCCTTCCTTCCTTCCTTCCTTCCTTCCTTCCTTCCTTCC